TATCCCTGGGATGTAAGGATGCTTCAACATACACAAATCAATAAATGTGATAAACCAAATCAATAGACTGAAAGACAAAAGTCATATGACCATCTCAATAGATGCAGAAAAGCATTTGACAAAATTCAATGTCTTTCATAATAAAAACTCTCAACAAAATGGGTATAGAAGGAACATAGCTCAAAAAAGGCCATATATGACAAACCCATGGCTAGCAAAATACTCCACAGTGAAAGGCTGAAAGTTTTTCCTCTAAGACTCAGAACAAGACAAGGGTACACTCCTATTCAACACAGTACTGAAAGTCCTAGTCAGAGCAATTAGGCAAGAAAAAGGAATAAAAGAAATCCAAATCAGAAAGGAAGAAGTTAAACTGTCTCTGTTTACAGATGATATGATTTTATATATAGAAAATCCTAAAGACTCCACCAAAAAACCGTTAGAATAAATAAATTCACTGAAGTTGCAGGATACAAAATCAATATACAAAAATCAGTTGCATTTCTATACACTAGCGATGAACTATCAGAAAAAGAAATTAAGAAAACAATTCCATTTTCAAAAGCATCAAAAACAATAAAATACTTAGGAATAAATTTAACCAATGACTTGAAAAGTATGTACACTGAAAACCTACAAGACAGTGATTAAAAAAACTGAAGACACAAATAAATGAAAGATATCCCATGTTCATGGATTGGAAGAGTTAATATTGTTAAAACTTCCACACTACCCAAAGCCATCTACAGATTTCAAGCAATTCTTATCAAAATTCCAATGGCAGGGGCCGGCCCAGTGGCATAGTGGTTAAGTTCACACATTCCACTTCGGCGGCCCCAGGGTTCACCAGTTCGGATCCCGGGTGCGGACATGGCACTGCTTGGCAAGCCACGCTGTGGCAGGTGTCTCACATATAAAGTAGAGGAAGATGGGCATGGATGTTAGCTCAGGGCCAGTCTTCCTCAGCAAAAAGAAGATTGGCAGCAGATGTTGGCTCATGGCTAATCTTCCTCAAAAAAAAAAAATTTCCAATGGCATTATTTCACAGAAATAGGAAAAACAATCCTAAAATTCACAGAGAACCACAAAAGACCCCAAATAGCCAAAGCAACCTTGACAAAGAACAAAGCTAGGGGCATCACACCTCCTGATTTCAAACTATATTACAAAGCTACAGTGATCAAAACAGTATGGTATTGGCATAAAAACAGGGACTAACGGAACAGAATCTAGAGCCCAGAAATAAACCCACTAATATTAGACAAGGGAGCCCAGAATACTTAATGGGGAAAGGATAATCTCTTCAATAAACGGTATTGGGAAAAGTGAATATTCACATGCAAAAGAATGAAACTGAACCCCTATCTTACACCACTCACAAAAACTGACTCAAAATGGACTAAGGATTTAAACATAAGACCTGAAACTGTAAAACTTCTAGAGGAAAACTGAGGGGAAGCTGCTTGACATGTCTTAGCAAAGATTTTTTAGATATGACACCAAAAGCACAGGCAAAAAAAGGCAAAAATCAACAAGTAGAACTATATCAAACTAAAAGCTTCTGCAGAGCAAAGGAAGCCATCAACAAAATGAAATGGAAACCCTGCAGAATGGGAGAAAATATCTGCAAATCATAAAGGGTTAACATCCAAAATACAAGAAACTCATACAACTCAATAGCAAAGAAAGGAGACAGATCCAATTAAAAACTGGACAGAGGAGTTGAATAGACATTTCTCCAAAGACATACGAATGGGCAACAAGTCTGTGAAAAGGTGCTCAACATCTCTAATCATCAAGGAGATGCAAATCAAAATCACAATGAGACATCACTTCCAACCTGTTAGGATGGCTATTATCAAAAAATAAGAAATAACAAATGCCGGCAAAGGTGTGGAGAAAAGGAAACCCTGATATACTGTTGGTAGGAATGTAAATTGGTACAACTACTATGGAACAGTATGGAGATTCCTTAAAAAATTAAAAATAGAACTACCATACGACCCAGCAACCCAACTTTGTTTCAAAGGAAACAAAATCAGTATTTCAAAGTGACATCTGTATTCCTATGTTCATTGATGCATTATTCACAAAAGCCAAGCATGAAAACAACCTAAGTGTCCATAACAGATGAATGGATAAAGAAAATGTGGTGGGATATTATGCTGGCATAAAAAAGAAGGAAATCCCGCCATTTGCAACAATATGAATGAACCTTGAGGGTACTAAGTGAAATAAATCAGACAGAGAAAGGCAAATACTGTATGATCTCAATCTCACTTATATGTGGAATCTAAAAACATTGAACTCATAGAAACAGACAGTAGAATGGTGGTTGCCAGGGGCTGAAGGGTGGGGGAAATGGGACAATGTTGGTCAAATGGTACAAACTTTCAGTTACAAGATGAATAAGTTCTGGGGATCTAAGGTACAATATGGTGACTACAGTTAACATACCATTGTATACTTTAAAGTTGTTATGAGTGTAGAGCTCTAATGTTCTCACCATAAGAACAACAAAAGGGTAATTATGTAAGGTGAAGGATACATTAACCAACCTTTTTGCAGTAAACATTTCACAATATATACACATATCAAATCATCACATTGTGCACCTTAAGCTTACACAATGTTAAACGTCAATTAGATCTCAATAAAGCTGAAAAAAGGGGATAACTCCATCACCTCATTATTTTTTTTAAGATTGGCACCTGAGCTAACATCTGTTGCCAATCTTCTTTTTTTTCCTTCTCCCCAAAGCCCCACCAGTACATAGCTATATATTCTAGTTGTAGGTCCTTCTGGTTGTGCTATGTGGGATGCCACCTCAGCATGGCCTGATGAGTGGTGCTAGGTCCGTGCCCAGGATCCGAACAGGCGAAACCCTGGGCCACTGAAGCAGAGCACTCGAACTTAACCACTCGGCCATGGGGCCAGCTCCCATCACTTCATTCTACATCCTGACCTCAAATCCTGCAGCTGCTCCTATATGAGACCACAAATAGAACTGCTGATTGATCACATTTTCTATTATTTCTCTACCTCCAAATATAGTCATTCCTTGGGTTAAGGAATTAATTTAAATTCTGAAACTTCTTTAAAATTAAAATGCTAACGTTTAATTAGCTATTAAAATTAAATAAATCTCTAGCAAATTAAACTTAAATAAATCAAGATTACCCAGAGGAGTGCTTCAGAACCTATGAAGGGTACAATTGTACGGTTATATATGTACAAATCCATGAATTTGAAGTGTTTAATCTTTTTTCTACAGAAAGTCATTTAAAGATTTCAATCATGAAAGCAAAGCTCAAAGTTACCACCTCCAAAAAGAATTATTCCTCTCCAGTGCTTCCACAGTTCTTTCTTTAAATGCAGTTTCTAGTTCTTAGGACATACACATATTTATATCTCCCTAAAGTTTACTTAGCTTTAAATCACTTGCAACAAGTATTGAGCTTTCAGACATGGATGTGATTAATAAATGTTTAAGAAAACACAAAAGTCAATATGCAAATATAGTAACTAAGCAGTATCACTAGAAATAACTTACACACCTAATCTAGTTGCCACCACCAAGTTATCAGATCAAAAGCAATCTTATTAGCAGTTAAGTCATCAACTGAAAGCCCATTCCATCAGCCATGTTGATGACTCATTTGAATATTTAAGTTAAAACATATGCAACTGTGATTTCCTTTTTATTCTTCCTAGCACATAGTAGTCATCAACAAAGATCTCTGGGAGGAATGTATCAAAAATTAATTTTCACATTATGGCATTCAGTGATCAAAAAACATGTGTCAGAGACTGCTATTCACTCCCTAAAATCCATTCTCTTCTCTCCAAGAGGATGCCCAGATTTTAGCTGAAATATGGCAGACTGAAATACAGACAATCTCCTGCAGCTAGATGTGACCATGTGATTAAGTTCCGGCTAATAAGATGTAAGTGGAAGTGTCCTAAGGCAGCTTCCAAAAATCTTCTATAAAAGATCACTGGCACTTGCCCATTGCTCCCTTCTTCTTTGTCCTTCCTCCAATAAAATGTAGACAGGATTAGAGCTCTAGCCACCCACCCTGGTCTAGGAAAATGAGGGCCACACTTCAGGTATGGTAGAGTAGTGAGCAAAAAGGATCTTAAATCCCAAAAAACTTCATGGAAAAGAACACATGCATAAGTCCTGGACTCTGTCTCTGGAATTTTATATTGAGAGAAATAAACTTTTATCTTTGCCACTGGGAAAATCCATAATATCAGGTTCCTTTGGATAAAGGAGGAAGGCAGATTTATAAATGGCAGATTTTCATAGACATATATTGTGAAGTCAAATCTCTCTGAGATGGGAATATTAGGATATTCTCTCTTTTTAAGTAATTATTCTTACTCTTATGACATATGAAGTTGCTCTATACTAGAAGTCAGAGAATCCAGGTTCAAGTCTTACCTCTGCCACTAAGTAACAAATCAATCAAATTCTCTAAGCCTTTGTGTCTTTACTTGTTAAAGTGGGTAGCACCACTTATCTAATAAGATTCTTGTATGACTTAAAATACAATGGGTATGAAAGTGTTCCATAGTATAAATCACTATACACAAAATAGTTGATGAGAATAATTTTTTATATCTGTGGATAGAAGTTCTGTCTTACACTCCATCCTCAATAGCAAGTGCTCAATAAATATTTGTTAAATAAATATTTTTAAGTCCTTGTTAAGTGAATGAAATTATTCCGCTTTGGAGTTGAATAAAGTTCAAAGGTCTTTAATATTAACTAAAATACTACTTGAGTCCCTTAGAGAGACAATTCTTAATTTTGATAATAGCTATAAGCTATTTGCTATAGCAAAATAATTTAAACTAGAAGAAAAGATGTGACACAGAAATGAAATTTTTATGATCCTTTTCCCTTGAAATTACCATGTAACACATAAAAATATATTTTAATATTTAAACAACTAACCCTACCACATCAAATGAAGGATTTCCTCACATTGGACTGTGGCTAAAGTATTTTATTAAATTAAGCATGTAATTTGCAAATGGTTTCATAAGAAATTTAAAAAGCAAAGCTATAAAACATTTTCAATAAAAAAGTACAGCGTTAACAGCAAAATTACATTTTATTTATAGTACAAATAAAAACAATTCTTTTCTGATACACTGTCTGAAAATTTTATAATATATTCTCCAACTGATAGCTGCAATATTGTATTTTAATGCGAAGTCTCACGGTCAATTCAACCATTTGTTAATAACAGGTTCATCATTTGGACCATGAAAGTCAATTACTCAACTTTAAGGAAAGTAACAAAATTTGTCAACATACAATGTGAAGTTATAAAAGGCTCTTCAGGATGTAGATGTATTCTAGCCTTGTTTCTCTATTAAATTCTGTGAAGAGGCATTAAGTAACACTGTAAACTTGAATTACATTTTAAAAATAAGCACCATTAACATACATTCTACATAAACTTTACCTTTTAAATGACACTTTTTGTTTGGCCACACAAACATTTAAATCTGTTTTCTTTATCATGTAAATAAGAATAAGCAATATTTTAACTATTACACAGAAAGATTATCAAATTTCACCTCATTGCACAATGGAAAAGCACTTAGAAAAAGCACTTGGAAAAAACAGCACACGTTATTTTCGTGTCTTTTTTATACACATTTGTCATTTTCTTACATTGAGAGCAGTTAAACATTGTCAGAGCAATTTCCTGAGTTTCGAAGTTTCCAATTTCCAGCTCAGAAATAACGAATCTTGTTATTATACATGTCCTTTTTTTTAAGCATACAAAATACTTGAGTTCAAAAAGAAAAAGATGAAAATAAAGGCCTGGAAACAATCCAACAGAACTGTTTAGCTTCTCAAAATGTGTTGTAATACACAAGACACTTCAAAGGATGTCAGGATTTCTAATAAGTAACATATCCTATAGGTAAAGGCCACAGAATTGCAAACAGTATGGAAATACTAATACATTGAAAAACTCTCAACTTGAAAATAATATAGAGATATATTGACAGCCAATAAATGTAAGACAGCATGCTTCCACTTCTCATCTCAAAGTAAGGAAGTGGATGGATTAAAAGTACTGTTAAGAGTCCCCTCCGGGCAACCCCACTTCCCCTGTGAGTGTCCACATTAGTTCTCTTTTTCCCACTGGTAAGACACTACTGAAAGGATATAACTGTCACTAAAACCTTCCAAACTACACAAGTGTTGTACTTTTAAAATATTCAGATGCTAGCAAAGAGCCTTTCTAATGACTCACGTATTAGCACAAATACACCAATATATGAAAACTTTGATAATCTCCACACTATCTTTACCTTTGGTATTTAGGACTTAGAAATGGGTAAAACAAGAAGGAAGAGATTATAAAATTCTCTCTCATAATTATATGTTGCTTAAACTATGCTAGACAGTGGAGTAGAAGGCAGGTTAGGATTAAACAACTTCATAAAAAACACATACGATGCTCAAAATTTGCCTATATATTTATGAATAACGATTAAGAAGAAATACTACGAGATTTACCAAAAAGAAGGCATAAAATTAAAGTTGATACAGCTTGGAAAACATAGCTTCTTTCATTTTGCTTCTGCTCACAAAATACCTCACCTCTTGTTCTTTTTGACTGCTCCCCCATTAATCATAATTACATTAATATTGAAATAAGTCTAGCAGAAGTGCTCAAAAACGGTGATTTTTTAAACTGGGTGAGGAAATACAAAAAACAGAAAAATGAGTATGCAGCTGCATACATTCAAATAAGTCCAGGTTTTAGTATTGTTATTCACATTTCTTGAATCAGATTAATTTATACACAGAAATATTTTATTTCATTAACTAACAACTGTAGTTTATAATAAGTTATTGAAAGGAACTGCTTTATTTTTAATGCACACAACTCTTCTAGACATTACAAAAAAAATGTATGTTAAACTGTTGGCATTTTTTCTTTTTTTAACAAACTACTACAAACATAAGAATGTGAATAATACTTCAATGCCAGTCACTAACCATTTCTAAGTAACAAACATATTTTTATTTCTGTGGAAATAAAATTCAGTGATATGGCTCTTTTTTTAAGAGCATGCTTTCATGATGTATAAAAAACATGTTTTTGAGTTTTATTTTCATTAAAATGTTCTTTTGGGGAAATGATGCTATAATTTAGCATTCTTTCAGCTCAATCCTATAATTCCTGATCCAAATGATTTTTTGTATCAAAAAGCAACAAAGTTGTTTGCTAAAATCATATACGTTGAAAATATTCTCCACATCCAAAGTCAAATTTATTTAAACCATTGTCCCATATTGGAAAATTACACTTTACCACATTAAACCTGTATAAAGGAAATAACAATTAACATACTAACAGGACTTTTTAGCTCACCAAAAAACAGAAGTTAATGAGTTTCCTTTTAGAAAGTTGGCTGTTTTTAAAAATAAAGGTAAAAAACCTTTAAATTTTAAGGATTTCTTTTATGATTATATCAAAAATGTTTTCTATCTTTGTTTTCAGTTAATAGGATTTTGACCTACTGCAGTTTAGAGATTACATACCTCAAATATAAAACATAACTCTTTAGTACTGTCTTAAATACCACTTACACAGACCATTCTATAAGCAGTTCTATGAGACAGCAACACTTGGTAGATAACTAACAACTTCTTCTTCTCTGAAAACTTTTCTGCCTATGGAAGTACAAAACTGCAACATAATCTCAGACCTCAACTTTCCTCCCGGAAAATGCACACACACAGAAGAAAGGAACAAGAAGTAAGAGATCAAGATCGTATAAAAAGCAGAAGAAAGTGCAACAGCATGTCTTCCTTCCTGTGGGATACAGCAAAATGAAATAATTTTATATTTTTACTTCTGAAATCAAAACACATTCAAGCATTTTGCTAGATATCCTTGCTTTTGTTACCACTATTTCTAAGGAATGATACCACTGCTTTTTCCTCTTTTAACATAAGCCTTTGGAGGGCAGGAACCAAGTCTCAAAGCACTTTGAATGCCTCTCAGAGAAGCCTTTAGGACTTTATTCAACGTCAAACAACAATTAATACAAAAGTAACATTTTCTCTCTGAGAAAGAATCAGAGCACTTCAAACTTTAAAACTGCAGCCGATATGTTTCTTCGACATTTGTAATCAATAAAAATTCTCTTTAATATTTTTAACAGACAACATATTTGGCATTTGATTCAGTAAAAAATTAAACTTCTCTTGAATTGTAAAAAACATCATCATAATGTTTTTCTGTTTTATAACTGGACATTATTTCTAATAAAACACGTTTACAGTAAAACTAATTTACTGCAAATAAAACTAATTTCAACCTACAAACCTTCACACTTCTAAGTCAAGGACGTTTATTTTACTTTAGCATGACTTTCAAGCACCCTGGTTTAATTTCAGAGAACCTGCAGAAATGAGAAAAGAGTTATTTTAAAGAGAGAGATTTCAAACTGGTTAAGGAACGTATCTTGTAATCAATTCCAAATGCCTATGTTAAATATAATATTTACTATCAAAGTACTCTCCTTTACTAAGCCACCATCCAGGACCATTATCTATACTTAGGTGTCTTTTAATCTATTGTCTAAATAAATAAAATCCTAAGGGTGAGGGTTACTCCTTAGTAGTTATAATAATTTAAGATTTTTCAAAACTCTGAAGCCTGAATTTGGCCCTCACGAAGAAGAGCCTGATGTATAAAGGAGAAGATGATGTCTGCATTACATTATTTCTGTGCATTAAGTCAGCACCAAGAAGAAATCTCTAATAAAAGAGGTGTCTCCTTCATCAGGCTATGAAACGCTGTCAACTCCCTCAGTGTAAAATTTAAAGAAACAGTAGTCTCTAAAATAAATCATTAATCCCAACATGATAGTATTCTGGTCTATTACTCTTTTTGTAAAACTACTCTGAAACGTCATCTGTTTGCATGCTCAGAATTAATGCTACCATTTTCTATAATGTAGTCAAACAACACGTTACATGGCATGAAAAAATATGCCATACTAATTAAACCTAGAAGGTCACGGAGGAGGGTACTTAATGATATACATCCTCAGGGAATCTTTCCATCAACAGATCTTTATGCTTGGACTTTTCTTTTCATTTTCTGTTATTGAATTATAATCACTTAATGAAAAAGGACATTTCATGTTTGCCAGCTAAGATCATTAATGGCATTTAACTTATGAAGAGGTATAAATTCATACTGACTGGAGCATTTCCACTAAAGTTTAAACACATTCAAATTACAAGCATATTTCAGGAGAAACTCCCAATTCTTTCCAAAATCTACAAGTACATATTTTCTTTCAAAGAAATAATTAAACAGCAACCTTACAGTATGATATGTATAATCTAATTCTCTTAGATAATACATTATCAAAGAAACACAAATATATTTACTTTCTTTTATAATTTTAAATTTATGATAGAAATAGTTTTTATCAGATGATTACTTCAACAACAAACACATTTTTCTTCATTTCTGGATTACTGAATGTCGCAAATCCTGCAGGGAACATTCTATCACAATTTAAGTATAAATTTGTGGCTAAAATCAGATAGCTAAATTTAGTTAACTATTCTAACAAATTGCTCTGAGCATACCATTAGTGTTTACTCTCTATACAGGGCAATTGCCATTATCATAACCGAAATCTATACCCACCTGAAGCTGTGGCTTGTGAGGTATTTAATGACAGCTGGTTTGATGCGAGCAACTCCTCCCTGGCTGTGACTCCCTCTGCCCGTAATCACAGAGAGATAGGGCTTACCACCGCTCTGCTCAAATTCTGTTACAGCAGGAATTGGAACAGTTAAAATTTATTTATCTACATTCTCAATAGAAAACAAACTTCAACCACTCAAACACATACAAAATTATTTTCATGGGGATTAGAGATTTATTTCCTCAAAAAGCCCCAAAATTAATGTTTTAAAATGTATGTTTCATCTACACTGTAGGTATGGAAGTCTCATAGCAATTCACCCACCTAAGGACTTAAGAGGGGTTTCTTCCCCTGTAGAGAGGGATATTTGTGTGTGCTACCAGAAGTTCTCTCTGAAATAATGATAATGATATAATAATATTTAATAATACCAAGCAATTATTATACGCATGGAATCAGGTATTGCTTTAAGTGACTTGTATTTATTAACTAAGAATCTTCACAACAACCCTATTAATGAAATACTCTGAAGCTGGCCAGCTGGTTCTGATTAGCAGTTCTGCCACTCAATGACTGTGAGATGACCATGGACAAGTTACTTAGCCTATCTGTGCCTGTTTCCTCATCAGTAAAATGGGATATAAAGCAAGTGCTTTCTAGAATATCCCTCCCAGGAATAGCTATTAGCAAATCTACTAATTATAGCACAGACTGCAGTCCTACTATTAAGATAATCAATTGTTAACTTAAGAAACTCTTCTACATAGATGATGCTTAAACATCAAACGAATCTGAGCCTCTTAAAAGCACCTGCTTTGGATATGATTTTCTGAAAATCAAGTACATAAATAAATCCTGAAACTCAATAATAGCTGTAATAGAATAACAAAAAAACTGTTAATAATGAGCTGATGTAATGAATTTAATAAATACTTGTTCCTCAGTTATAAATAGCACAAGTTTTGATCTTTAGCATAAAATATATATACACATAATATAAACATTCCATGTTCTGCTCATTAAGTTGCCCTAAGACTCCAGCAGATCTACAAACAGATGGCTTTTCAAGTCTCACATCTCCAGGGCAATATTTAACCTGGAATTTTAAGAGGACATGTTGCTCTTGCATTTCTAATTCCTTCTTTGCTTAAGATCTCCATTTCTACTCTAAACCATATCCATTCCTTTAAGCAATACGTCATTTAAAATTCAACTCTCCCTAAGTGCTGGCTACACAAGGGTATTCACTTTGTAAAAAGTTTTTAAGCTAAACAACTGTAATTTACGCATTGTACTTTACATATGAGATATTACAAACAAGTTTACTTTAAAAAAACTTAAATCTCTTAACTAACCATAATTCATTCTCATTGCTCTTTCTCTACTGCTCCCCTTGTCAGGTAGGTCAATCCTTTAGACCACTTCACCTTTCCATAGTTCATTTATTGCTATGAAATGTCCTCTGTGCGACTCAGATAAAGTAGGTGTTCAAAGGATGTTTGTTGAATGAATGTATATGTTTAGGTTCCCAAATTTCAGGCTGTTCCTACCATTTATCACCTTTTAAAAAACTGTTTAACTCATTTTTAAGCATATCCCAGATGTTTTTATCATTTCAACCATAATATTTCAGTATTTCAAAAAGATATGGACTCCTTTAAAAATATATATAACCACAATGTCACCATCATTCTTACAAAATTAAAAATAGTCCCTTAATACCATCAGCATCTTAAAATAACTAAAAATTGCCCCCAATAGTCTCAAAAAAATGTTTTTTACAAAAAAAATTATTTGAATTGGAGTTAAAAATAAGCCCACATGTTGCATTTGGCTGACACATTTCTTAAATACTTTTAATCTAAAGGTTCTTCCTCCCCTTGTGTTTTTCTTTACAATTTGTTGAAAAAATTGGATCATTTATCCTAGATTTTCACAGTGTGTATTTTGCTGATTGTATCCCCATGGTGCCATTTAACATTTTCTTCTATTCCCTGTAAATTACTATAAAGTAATAGTCAGATCTAAAGGATTGATCTGCTTCTGGTTTATTTGGGAGCAAAAAGACTTCATTGGTGGTGGTGGCGTATATTTTAATCACAAGGCACATAGGTTCAGATATATTTTTTTAATTCATCCCCAATTTTGACAATCCTTTCATCTTATAACTAAAAGCAACACAAGGCACAGCTACAGATTTTCCCCTGGAGACATCTGCATTCAACAATACTACCATCTGCTGGTGACTTCCAGTAACTACAGATGGCAGCATACACAACATGGGCCTTGGCTTCTAGAAAGAATTTGTGTCTTGGGTCTGACCAAGGATCACATTACACAAGTTATTTAACTCTTTTTTTTCTTGTAATTTTTTTTATTGAGATAAAATTCACATAACATAAAATTCACGATTTTAAAATGTATAATTCAGTGGTTTTTAGTATTCTACACTGTTGTGCAACCATCATCACTATCTAATTCCAGGACATTCCATCATCTCAAAAAGAGATTCTGCACCTCTTAGCAGTCATTCTTCATTCCCTCCTTTTCCAGGCCCAGCAACCAGCAATGTGCTTTCTGTTTCTATGAATTTGCTAATTCTGGACATTTCATATAAACGGAAATCATACAACATGTCGCCTTTGTATCTGGCTTCTTTCACATAGCATAATGTTTACAAGGTTCACCCATGTTGTGGCATCAGTACTTCATTCTATTTCATGGTTGAATAATATTTCATTGTATGGATATACCACATTTTGTTTGTTCATTCTTCAGTTGATTGGACATTTGGGTTTCCACTTTTTAGCTATTATGAACATTCATGTACAAGTTTTCATGTGAAGAAAGCATGTTTTCAATTCTCTTGTGTACATACCTAGGAGCAGAACTGCTGGGTCATATGGTAACTCTATGTTTAACTTTAAAGGAATGCCAACTTTTTCCACAGTGGTTGCACCATTTAACATTCCCACCAGCAATACCAAGTCTCTACATCCTTACCAACATTTATTATTTTCCATTTTATTAAACTTTTTAAATCATCAGTTTCCTCATCTATAAAACCAGAGGAATACCTACCCTTTATTCAGTCATTTATTCAACTTTTTTGGGTGTTGAATGAAAGGCACTATATACAAAGATGATTTAATAATCATCACTGACTCAATTCTTGGCCAATTAATAATCAATTACACAATAAGCTTTTTATAAAGACTGTGATACATAGGGAGACTATGAGAGGCTATTAATGGGTAGCCCAACTTAGTGTGGAGGTCAAGAAATGACAGTGTAGCTAAACATACAGATAAGGAAGAGGAGCACAACACAAGATGAGAATGGAGAGGCAGGCCAAGGAACAGATTATGTAGAGATTTTGGAAGTTACGCTACATGCACCATGGCAACCTGTACTTTCTTACCACAACGGAAATTATTTATGTTAACTATTTGTTCACTCTCATCTACTCTACTAGACAGCACACTCCATTAGCAAACTCCATAAAGACAGAGATTATGTGTCTTTTTCACTGCTTTATCCTTGAATCTAGAATACAGAAGATAATCAAATTTTATTGCATAAATGATTAACTCATCCTCTATAGACAGAACGTTCTCTTATAATACTTCTATATAAGAGTTTTTCCTTTCTTCAGATTAAATAATGTATTTAAACTGCTCTTAAATTTTCTCTTTTCTAATCTCTATTCTTATTGTTTTCTAGATTTTCTCCTACATTTCCAAAATTCTATTTAAAAAACTACCGGGGGAGGGGAATCCCCTACTTTATTGAAGAATGTCTGCTAATAAACATAGAATGAATACAAATTATAAAACATCAATATGCAACCACCAATATAATAATTGATTCAGCTAAGGATCATCAATGGATGCTAAAATCATCAGGCAAAATATTGTAGAACAGTTATTCACACAGTCACAAAGTATCAATCACCAAAATTTACTAATTAATTACAAAAAGGTACATTTACATAGAGAAATCTGATAAAGTCCTACCTTAGCTAAGAAATCAAACTTAACATCACCAATATTGGGGCAATCTGACCATGTAAGTCTCTTGATATAGTCACCAAGGGCAACTTAACATTCCCTATGTTGTATTTTTACCAAGAAAATTTTAAACTGAATCTAATCATAAGGAAACAATCAGACAAATTAAAACTGCACAACACACTAGCAAACAACTGGCTTGGAGTCTTCAAAAATGTCGACAGAGAAGACAAAAAACAGGGAGAAGAACTATTCTCTATTACAAGAGACTACAGACATGGGGCAATCAACTGCAAATGTGATGTCTGACTGATCCTGGACTGAGGGGGACAAAAAGGCACAGCTATACAAGACATTATCCATACAACTGGAGAAATTTGAATATGGCCTGCATTTTAGATAATATTATTGTAACAATGTTTAATACATGTCTTAAAAGTGATAATGTTATTGTGATCATGTAGGAGAATAAATTTGCTCCTAAGAGATACATATGCTGAGGTATTTAGAGGTAAAGCACCACAATATCTAACTACTTATTTTCAAATGGTTCAGCAAATTTCAGAGAGATTAAGCAAATGTGGCCAGATGTTAACAACTATCTAGGTAAAGGATATACGGGTATTTATTCATACAATTCTTTCAGTTTCTCTGTAGGTTTTTGATTTTTCAATATAAAACGTCAGAAAAAAGTGATAAGAATACACATGTTGATATACAAAATAAAGCTCAGTGTAATATTACAACTAAATATCTGTCGACAGAGGAATGGATACATTACGATGCATTCACAGAATACTATACAGCAGTTACAATAAAAGACCAGATCCACCAAGATAAGTAGATCTTGAAAACTGTATTGGGTGAAAATAAAATAAGTGACTTGGCTGATGATATAGTGTGATACCATGTACATTCATTTTTTAAAATTCACAAAAGGAGTACTATAGACTTATAGTGGACGAACATACATATAGTAAAGGTATTTTAAAAATTGACCAGGAAGACTGTAGACCAAACTGAAGCATGTTGATTTCCACTAGAAAAGGAGGGAAGAAAGAGAAAAGGATTGGGAAGAATACAAAGAGAAGAGTAAAAAAAAAAAAGATATGAGGCACATATGGACAAATGCTATTATCACTTGTTACTTGGATTCATGAGTGATTAGTATATCCCTCTGTAACCTTTTCAACATGCTTTTCATGATACATGAATTTTCAACCTTTTATATCAATCATACTTAATCAAATAATTAATTACAAGTGATGATGTGTTGAATTGATAAACCTATATAAAGTATAGTATAAAGCTTTCTAAAATGTATATAAATCAATTAATCAGAACAGTATAGCTATCAATGAGAGCGTGGAGCTATGGAGCTGCAAGGTATAGCTCAGGCATGTACTCTACATCTCCGCAATAAAATGGAAGAGAAAGCCAAGTTGAAAATTCAAAAATACTCTAGTAGTGGTGAAAGGAGATGACTTCTAGTATTAAGAGTCTAGGGTAACTAAAACAGAATGAATTTTTCTAAGTGTTACTATCTGATGATGAAAAGGAAACAAGATGGTAAACCAACAAGATACTTTAATGTATGTGAAGTACAAGATACTGAATAGAAGCATGAGAAAGATCCTCATCCAAAGCCCTGGGAAGAGGCAGAACTTAGACAAGAGGCAGGCAGTGGCCCTTCCTATTGATCTGCAAAGAAAATATAAGCAGAAAGGGAGACGGGAACATCACCATACTGTAAACACTCAGAAATCCTGCCTTTTGTGATAAGTCTGTAAAAATCCTATCACCTTATTTACTTCTGTATTTTATTAAACATCTATTGAACAATTGATATCTAATAAATATCTGTTAGGGTTTTTCTTAATGTTCTTTTTTTTATTATTATTTTTATTTTTCCTTCTTCTCCCCAAAGCCCCCAGTACATAGTTGTGTATTCTGGTTATGGGTCCTTCTAGTTGTGATACGTGGGACGCCGCCTCAGCATGGCCTGATGAGCAGTGCCATGTCCATGCCTAGGATCTGAACTGGCGAAACCCTGGGCTCCCGAAGTGGAGTGTGCGAACTTAATAACTCAGCCACAGGGCCGGCCCCATCTGTTAGCTTTGATAAATGTCTACTGAACAAAGATGTATAATTTCTGAAAGGTCCCATTTATAAGTAAGATGATTCTCAGATTACACCATGCCCTCCCTTTAGTAAATACAACAAAGGAATACAAATGACTGAAACAGGAAAATTTTTTTTAAATGCTAATGGTCATGCTAATGAGAATTCTTTCCCAAGGGATCCCTTGAAGAATGAGCCTAATACAAACATCTATAAATGTGGCACAGATATCCTCAGCCTGCACATTCAGAATTTCCTGAGTTTACAAGTTATATCAACATAAGCAAAGACATATTTTCTATTGAAAATTTGTCATTATCACAGTCCTACCTTCAGTTTTCTGCTGTAAAACTGTCATCAAATGTTCTATAGCTTCATCCACATGCAGCCCATGGAGATCTAAAACATTCTGTGGCAGCAAGGAGGCATTGACCTTCTCAAAGATCTCCACAGCAGCAAGGTGATTGGCTTCTTTCATCTTCTGTTCATGGAGACTACCCTTTAATTATGAACACATCACCAGTAAACACTTTTGATATTTGCTACTTGGTAGGCAATGAGGAAACAAACAGTGCCCCAAATAAAAGACAGAACAAAAGAGGGAACAGTAAGGGCCAGCCTGAAGGCACAGTGGTTAAATTCGCATGTTCTGCTTCAGCAGCCCAGGATTCGCCGGCCTGGATCCAGGGTGTGGACCTACGCACCACTTGGCACAGCCATGCCGTGGCAGGCATCCCACGTATAAAGTAAAGGAAGATGGGCACAGATGTTAGTTCAGGGCCAGTCTTCCTCAGCAAAAAAGACGAGGATTGGCACCATATGTTAGCTCAGGGCTAATCTTCCTCAAAAAAGAAAATAAATAAATCTAAAACTTTAAATAATGGAATGGGCTAATATGCAAGAATATGCTGAAATTAAGGTGAATTTTGGTGGATTAATAATACAGTTCTTAAACAAGTGAATCATCATTCCTATATATTTTCTGAAGCAAAAATCAAGAAGAGGGAAACTTAAACACCACCCATCTCAAGAAAAAAATCCACTGGTTTATCCTTTGATAATCCTGGGTCTCATCCCTTTCAACACCTTATAGTTACCCCTGAAGCCATCCCTCAAGGTATGCTGTTAGGGCTCACAGCATTAGAACAGTTTGATACCTTTCTCTGCTCTCTCATGAGAAAGTAAGCCACATGGAACCACAAAAAGTAAATCAGGCAGGTTTCTTGTAATACCATGCCAAATGAGCCCAGGTAGAAATTTTACTTTCCTGAAAGATATTAACGTAATTTTCTGTTTCTCACTATAAAAGTGATACATTACTAAAAATTAAAACCTGATGGAAAGTACAAGTCCCCTGTAATCCCACCATAAGATGGCCAATATTAACATCATGCTGTTTTTCCTCCAGAAAACCTGTATCTGTTTAGAAATAGTACTGAATGATGGAATCTAACTTAAGAGAAAACATGGACTGTCAGAGTAAACTGCAGTTCATGCATGCCATAAAGGCAAAAGCAACCACGGAAATGGGGCATTTCAAAGGAGATGAAATTCTCAGAACCATACATTTCTTATCTATTAGGATACCTTATTTATGTCACTTATATAACTTACATTTCCCAGAATAACTTAATCTTGTCACAATATGAGTTTTATCTGCTTTAAGACTGTTCGGACAATGTGAGTGACAAAGAAATAATAATAATCGGTTTTCTACTTTACCTGCTGGGCATAAAAAGTGGCAACGTTTTTCTTCCCCATCCGATAGGCTTCTTTTGCCTTGCTGTAGCACTCCATCCTCTTCTGCTGGTGCAGGAAAGCCTCCGCCCTGTAGTCGTCATACTCTGGGTACTCAAAATCCTGGAAAGATGGTTCACTTGGTACATCTTCAGTCTCTTTCATTTTCTTTGTCTATAAGAAGTTACAAAATAAGTAAAATATGAAGAAAGTAGGAAATACAGGCTTTATCCTCAGAAAATGTATATGAAAATGGGGCAGTACTATTTTTCATCTTTCTTCTCAGAAAACAGATTCTCCTAGTGTCTACGTAGTAAGTCATGCACTCAGCAACTATCATTAACCTTTTCATGCCATACGGGTACCCCTTCTTTAACCACTCTAACCTTAGGAAATGTTGAAAGTTCTCTAAAGCTGCCAAAGTATAATTAGGTCACAAAATCAAGCCAAAACAGAGAATATAAGATTTTCAAAGAATAAAACATTTACCTCATGCAAAATTTTCCAAATTTTAGTTTGAAAATCCATTCAAAGGGTCCAGTCATTGAAAGCAGTAATGGCATATTTCAGTTTATATTTTTAAAAAACCAATCAATAAAATAATTGAATAATATTCTCTTTAAAACAGAAGGGCATGTGGAGTGATCATGCCTGTAGTTAATAAAAATCATAAGTACATTTATGGACCAGTTTTCAATCAGTTGACTACAAACTATCCACTATGGTAGTGTTGACTATTACATAATTTCAATAAGATTTGTGAAAAGTCATCTATCAAGTAATTGTTACCCAAAATGGATACTTAAATCTCAAAGCAAAAATGACTCTAATTCAAAACATAAGGTAATGAAAATAATTATTATGTAAATTTGCCTCACTGCTCTCCACCAAATAGGAAAATTGCATTTTTCTGAACAAAATTCTTAGTACATCCAGATGTCTCTAGAATATAAAGTCTATATTAAAAAACAGCAAAATATAATGACTTCTATATCCAATATGGCTTTCCATTTATCCTATTCTCCAAAGTGTTATTTGCAGAAAACTGCTTGCAAACAGCAATCTGGTATGTTTCTTAGCATGTCTTTAGGGGGGAAAAATAGCTACTATGATTTAAGTTGATTTTCTTAAAAGTTTAAAAGAATTTCAGGCATTAGGAGCCATACCAAGTAATTTAATGAACATTTTATAAACATTCAATCCCAAAACTCCCCAAAAATATAAACTTCAATTTTTTTAACAAATCATGCTTTTTTGATATAATTAATTGAAAGTACATTAAATAGTATAGGTTGCTTGTTAAATTTATAAAACCTGAAAATTGCCATTAAGTTGGAAATATTACCAAGGAGTATAACTATAATGTACTCTATAATACCTTTAATAAAATACTGATTTGAACTTTTATATAATATAATTTAATATATACTAAAAATTATATGTATATATTTGACAAATAAAAATGGCAAGCAATAGGATATATTGGAGTATATGAGGAAGCCATTTGGTATAAACCTAATTCGGCCTGACTTCCTTTTTTTCCTCCAAAAGGGCCTGACTGCCTATTGAGCACGCATTGCATATCTGCTTAGACATTTCCTATGGCCAGAACAAAGGCCCTTGAGATAAAGATGCAACTTCCCCCCCGACATTAGCATTTTTCCTTAGGCTAGGAACTGATTGCTGCACTCACCTCCCAGCTCACCTGTGACCACCCAGCTGGAGACAACAGACTGCCACCCTGCTGTGTTCACCGAGACAGACCTACCTGCTATTTCCATCAATCACTGTGCCGACAGTCTCACGACTATTGTAAAAGGGACATTCCAATCATATGTGAAACATCCTCTTTGAGGGTATATAACGACCCTGTATACCCCCCCACCTCTTGGGAGTGCTCTGTTCCTTTGTGGAAAGACTCTCCCGGGTTATAATCCTCAGATTTAAGCTCAGAATAAACTCAGCCAAATTTTCATTTATAGATTGGATATGGATTATTTTTGTCGACATATTATATATGTATTGCTGACTGATAAAAAAATTTTTTTTCAAATTTCCTGCCCATGAATGGAGTTCAGAAGACAAGAAACACTGGGAAAACCTGATTTAAAATATAGTATTAGTTGGTTGTGTAATTTCTCCACTCATTACATTGTACTTACTTAGCACCTAGAACTTTAGAGGCTTGAAAGAGTTGAAGAAAAGAATAAAATAAAGGCATCACCATACTCCTAACTCATTACCAGAGCCAATTATCTGTAAAACTGAGACTATACAGTCAATTTATCTTTGCAACAAATATCCAGCTTATTTTATGAAAGAACACAAGGCGCTCTCTCACATATGAATATTCATAGAACCTACAACCTTCTGTCACTGTAGGCAGCACTTAATCACAAGCTTGTTTCATATTAATGTTTATATTATTCTACGAGTGTATGGTTTGCATCACTGACAAAATCAAAGACTTTCGGGGGAAGGGATAATAAAAAAGCTTTCTATGACCTCTGAAAAGTCCACAGTGCCTAACACCATAAAGATAAATTCATAAACCTAAACATAAATTTCTTAACATTAGAGTCTCTGTTGGTGTTCCTACTAAAAAACACAGATGATAGATGTTTCTCTGGGAAGAGATCCTTCACTTCTTATTTTTAAAAAAGAAAAAAACAGTATATAATGAGAAATGCTTTTTCAAAGAGCTACTCTCTTTTAAAATAAAACTAAGATTTATTTTTATATCCATTTCACAGTAATGTGGTTTACTATAACTTCATTAACAGGAGCCAAGTGAAATATTTGCTTCCTAGTAATTCACCTAATTAGTACCACTTATTCTCTTGAAAGCATGATGTACTATATAATACCAAAACCATTTCCGATGTTAACAATCTTACAAATTTTATTAAAGCCTAAAGAAGAAAAGTATTAATAAAACAGTTTGAAATGTCAGTTTCTTGAAAACAGATAAACCAAAATGTTCCTGGTACCATGATACTCCCCTTTAGTATCTGTGGTCCCTTAGGGTCCTGGAATATCAGAGACAGACTATTCTGCTCACACATCTTAGAAGATGTTTATCAGTGTTGTGACACCTGCCTACATTTTGTGAGAAAGGCTAAGAAAAATTTCCAGAGTAACTTAAAGTTTACATTTTGGCCAATGTTTACATAACTCACAAAATCTCCTTTTCTGATGACAGCTTCCAATCATCTCCCACTTTGAGCAAGCCCCTTTCCCCATGACCTCCTCTATCATCGTAATGACCCACCATGCCTTCCTCTATTATCAAGAGAGAGAAAGAATAATCTTCATTCCCAGTTTGACCTTAAAGGACTCATCATCATCTTGTACTCTCTCTATATCTTATAATACCATACCTATCTATCCATGTTGAACACAGGCATCAGTGGTATCACTTGGTTCCTGCCCCATGTATAGCACTAACAGATCACATAAACACCTAAGTCCTATATATCAATCAACTAATTGATGGTGAAATATTCAAAGAAAAAAGGGAGCAGACAAGCTATTCCTGAGTGATCTTATTAATAAGTAAGAATAGCAGGATGATAAAGTTCTGTTTAAAAATAATGTGTAAAGCTAATACAAGATTACTATACAAAATCAATTATATTTCTATGTATTTGCAATGTGCAATCTAAAAATAAAATTAAGAAAACAATTCCATTTACAATAGTATCAAAAAAAATTAGAAATAAATTTAACAAAAGACATGCAAAACTTATATTCAAAACTACAACACACTGTTGAAAGAAATTAAGAAGTCCTAAATAAATCAAAAGATACCCCATCTTCACAATAGTGTTAAGACAGCAATACTCCTCTAATTGATCTACAGACTCAACACAATTCCTGTGACAACTCCAGATGGCTTGTTTGCAGAAATTAACAAGCTGATCCTAAAATTCACATGGAAATACCAGGGGCCCCGGAATAGCCAAAACAATCTTGAAAAAAGAAGAACATAGTTGGAAACTCACACTTTTTGACTTCAAAACTTACTACAAAGCTACAGTAATCAACAGAGTTTAGTACTGGCATAATGACAGACATATAAAACAATGAAATAGAACTGAGAGTCTAGCAATAAACCCAAGTCAATTCAGTTTCAACAAGGTTGCTAAGAAAATTCAACAGGGAAAGAATTGTCCTTACGAGTGGTGCTGTAACAACTGATATTCACATGGAAAAGAATGAACTTGGACCCCTATTGCACACCATACACAAAAATTAACTCAGAATGGATTAAAGATCTAAACATAAGCACTACAACTATAAAACTTTTAAAGGAAAACAGGTGTAAATCTATGACCTTGGATTAGGCAATGGTTTCTTAGATATGACACCAAAAGCATAAGCAACAAAGAAAAAAGATAAATTGCACATCATCTAAGTTAAAAACTTTTGTGCTTCAAAGGACACCATCAAAAAAGTGAAAAGATAACCCTCAGAATGGGAGAAAATTCTGCAAATTATATATCTGATAAGGGACTTGTATCTAGAATATAGAAAGAACTTGTACAACTCAAGAGTAAAAAAGAAAAATTTAATGGGCAAAGGATATAAATAACATTTCTTCAAAGAAGATATAAATGGCCAATAAGCACATGAAAAGATGCTCAACAACACCAGCCATCGGGGAAATGCAAATCAAAGCCATGAGACAGCACTTGTGTATTAATCATGTCTTTTATTTCCTGTATTCTGATGCTCTGACATCTGGGGCCTTGCTAACCCCTAGAGAGACAGCCCCCACCACCCCAGGGTTAGCTAATTCCTAGAGACAGCAAACAACTTGCCTGCTAGAGCACCTTAGATAAGCAAACCAACCAATCTAGAGCCTATACGCCCAACTACTTCCTTTATGGGGTTCTCACACTCCAGGCCACCATCCACATACCCTTAATCACCCAGGCCAGGTAGAAGAAAAGTAAGAAGAGTCCCTATGCCCCAGAGCTTGCTGAAATTATTCAAACCATCCAATTCTATGCCTGCTTACCCTGTCTCATCCATTTCTTCCCACAGAAACCACAATAAAGGCTCTTGCCCACGTTTTCCCCTACTCTCTCTGCCTCCTGACTGATCCTGGGGCTTCCTCATGTGGCCCTGCGTAGTGGGCCATGCCTGTTTCTAGGGATCTGTGCATATAATGAACTTCTTCCTTTATGACATCTCCATGTCTGTGTGTCTTACCATGCCTGATTAAAACAAATCCCAGGTACCCTTAAAACAACTTCACACCCACTAGGATGGCTATAATAAAAAAGACAGATAATAACAAGTATTAGAGAGGATGTGAAGAAATTGTAACCCTCATACACTGCTGGTGAGAACATAAAGTGGTGCAGCCATTTTGGAAAAAAGTTTGGCAGTTTCTCAAATGGTTAAGCAATTCCGTCCACATATTTACACCATAAAACACATCATATTACCACCCTACTGCTATTCAATTAAACCTCATACTCTACTGTCTAGAGTCTACACAGAAAAATTCACAGAAATTCAAGTGTTTGTCATGCACAATGACATTGAAGAAAAAAACAATCATCTATAAATTCATTATTTTGAGTAAAGATATTCTAAACCAAATTGGTTAAATTTCCGATCTAGTCAAAATGGTAAGAAATAATCATTAAATTATCTCAATGAACCAACTATATTTTCAATATAATTATTTTCCATTATAATAAAAAATGAGTAACTCTATACCTTTTTCTCCTTAGACTTCTGTGCAGTATGAGAAGGGACATTCTCATTTTGGTGAACGAACTCTTGTGCTACAACTGTTTTTACAGGGTCTCCTTCAAGAACACAGTTTAGAAATTGCACTGTGTGTTCTAATGAATAGCTGTAGAGAGTTTAAGTACAAATATAATGTCAGTAAACGAAAGTAAAAGTTATGTGGAAACATTAACATAAGCAATCCTTCAAACATTTTAGAAGAATATGAAAAACTGGCTCACTTTTAAGTTTTAAACATTGAAATTAAATGCTAATTGCATATCTGAAAGACTCAAGAATGAACAGAGGGTAAGTCAAGTATAGATTCTCACCAAACTAATTTTTAGAAGGAATACCAAAAGGTAACATATTGATAATTAATTCATTTTCTGATCTTTTATTCCAGGTAGAATATCCACAACAAAGCTTTCTTTCATCTTATCAGCTATACCTCTTAAGTCCCTTGGTGGATTCACACATGGTTTCAGTTTCCTTCAAACATCAAACACAGAGAATAGATCTTTAAACTGACATTTATTGTGTCAAATTTTACTTTTTACTTATACCACGGGGGTTCTAGTCAAAGAAATTCTAAGTGCGGATACAGAAAGGACAAAGTAGAACAGTATCTACCTCTCACCCCTACATTATTCAGGCACATTTTCATGGTGATACTACATTATCTGCAATAGGAAATTCTAAAAATTGACAAATATCTGATACACTCATGTTCTAATATCTAAAAAAACTCACTCCAAAGCAAATTATAAATGATTTTATACTGCTCATTATTTCAGACCATTTAAGCCTCCCGATCTCTCTCAATGGTCAGAAAACGAAGAGGTGACCACAAAGGAATATTTTTGAAATGTAATAACTAGTTATCCAAAGTAGTGTGATATTTTGCTGTTCTTCAGTTTGTTAAAGAGAATCCTTAAAGAGGAACCATTTGGGACTACCATTTCCACTTTAGCCCTCTCACCCCACTCCTCATATATGCTCAACACATAGGGGTTCCTAGGGGCTGGAAGCTACCAGCAATTATCTACATCCTGTCTAGCCCTTAAAATCACCAAGCTTGCTCACTCATGGGGCTAGAAGCCAGTCTCCACCACTGGTGTTGTTCGAGGGAAATTATACCTCAGGCATATACTGCAGTAACCGAATCCAACTACCCTTCTTACCAGGATGAACTTGAAGCTACTGCTAACTGAGAAAGTTATCCAGTGGTTGGCAGACAAATGGAGGGAATCAACCACCTACCCTGAGGGTCCTGACCGATCACTCTAGCCATCCCCAGGAAGAACTCACTCAGCCCCCTTACGTTACCTAGAGAACCACAATTCTGGGTTATTTCACATCAGGCCCTCTTGCCCTAGGTCCCCATAGAAGAGAGCTGCCATATGCCAGTACCAGCCCCTAACCCCCAGCCCCTGGGGAGATTTTAACACATATTTCTAAGAAAACAGCAAGTTAGTAGCAAAAAGAAATAGGGAAATTATGGATTGCAATTATACCATTAAAAACCTGATTTAAACGATCCAGCCATCCCACTACTGGGTATTTATCCAAAGAGCCTGAAGTCAGCAATCCCAAAAGTCCTGTGCACCCCAATGTTTATTGCAGCACTGTTTACAATAGCCAAGACGTGGAAGCAACCTAAGTGCCCATCAACAGATGAATGGATAAAGAAGATGTGGTACATATATACAATGGAATACTACTCAGCTGCAAAACAGAACAAAATCATTCCATTTGCAATAACATGGATGGACCCTGAGAGAATTATGTTAAGTGAAATAAGCCAGCGAGAGAAAGATAATCTGTGTATGACTCCACTCATATGACGAATTTAAAACTATGGACCAAGAACAGTTTAGTGGATACCAGGGGAAAGGTGGGGTGGGGGGTGGGCACAAAGGGTGAAGTGGTGCACCTACAACATGACTGACAAACATTAATGTACAATTGAAATTTCACAAGATTGTAAGCTATCAATAACTCAATAAAAAAAAAAACCTGATTTAAGTGACATATTTATTTATTACTGCTGAGTATGCAGAGTTCTATGTTTTTCAAAAGCACTTTCACGAAATATTTATAAAAACTGATCATGTATTAAACCACAAAGAAAAACTCAAATTCCAAAAAGAACTCTTACAGGTCACATTCTTATACCCCAATACAACAAAACAAAATAAGCAAAAGTCCTCCTCCCTCCCCGCCCCGCCTCCACCATCAAAGCCATCAAACCACTTAGAAAATTTAAAACTCTTGGGTAAATGAAAAATCAAACTGAATTAGAGATTATTTAGAAAATAATGAAAACGAATATACTATATGTCAAAATCAAAACATTATACAGAGAAAAATTCATACTCTTAAAAGTATTTGTTACTAAAGACTGAAAGGAAACAAACTAGCAAAGAGTTGAAAACATATCAACAAATTTCAAGCAAAAAGAACCATCAAAAATACAAAAGAATCATCAAAAATAAAAACAAAATTAAGTGATTAGGGAACATTAAAACAACAGACTTTGATCAATAAACCAAAAGCTTGTTCTTTAAAAGGGCCAATCTAATAAAGAGCAAAAACAGAGAGAAAACAGAAAAGAAATTAGGAAAAAGAAAAGGGATGTGATCAAATACAAAATAATGTTTTTAATTATAAAAGAATATTATATACAATTTGACAATAATAAACTTGAAAACCAAGGTAAAACTGATGATTTTCTGGAAGACTACCAGAAAAGCCTCGTGAAAAAAGCAAACGTGAATAAAGTAATAAGCTTAAAAGGTTCTAAAGATCCCCTCCTTGAAGAGGCACAAGCACAGAACCTTCAAGATACTAAGTCATTAAGCTTTCCAGAGCATAGAGAAGAACGGCAGTCTTGCCAGTTTATTTTATGAAGCCTAATACTAAATAAAACCCTCAAACCAAAATCTGACAAAGATAGAACAGGAACAGAAAAATCACAGACCAATCACATTTAATTACTGTTACAAAAATCCCAAAATCAATTCCTACACTGCACTGAAGGAAAAAAACAAACACAAAAACCTAAAGGCAGGATCCAATGTCAAGACGGCAGCATAGTTGGACTCTGAACTCACCTCTTCCCATGGACAGGACAAATTTACAACTATTCTTGGAAAAATTACCCCTGAGAGAGAACGGAAAACTAGACAAAAAGAACCTCCCAAACAGGGACAGTGCTGACCGAGGTGGAGGAGACAGAAATTCCTTTCTGGAGAGGGAAAGCCATGTTCTGGCTGCGGCACTTCATGGCTGGCCAGGAGCAACCTTGAGGTACAAAGACTTCCCTGGAGGAGTTGGGGATCTGAGCGGCAGAGTGTTACCACAATAAGCAGCTTCTGGACTCAGCACAACCGAGACAAATGTCATAATATCTAGCTTTGCCGGCTATTAACAACAATGGGGATTAGCCCCAGAAAAGCTATCAGGCATAAACGGAAAAAACCTGCTCTTAAAGGGGCCACGCACAAATTCACCCATTTCAGAAAGCAACCTAAAATTACCAGAAGGAAAGGTGTACAGTCCTTTTGAGAAAAGAGACTCACATGATAGGTTCTAGGTACACCTTAGCAAGAGATGAAACTGCCCCAGGCTGGGACCCCCTCCCCAGGGACTCAGATATTGGTGGCAGCCATTATTGTGACCTAGTACAGGCATGCTGACACAGATGTTTGCAGATGCCACTGGAGCTCTTAGCCCAGGAGTCTGACCCACCACCAGAGCACAGATTTAATCCAGCTCAGCCAGGGCAGGCAGCCTGCCTTAGGTACAGGCCCCACCAAAAAGCAAGTCCTGGGGCAACTCATGGGCCCACAGAGGTGGGGTGTCTGGAACCTCTGCAGCCAGGTGAGTGAGTCCACCTCTGTGGGGCAGGGCATGCATAAAGGAGTGGGCTTGCATTAGTGGCGTGTGTAGGGCCTCTGCAGTGGGGTGACTGAGTGTGCTTCAGTGTGTCAGTGTGTGTGCACGGAGCAGGACTGTATTGATGCAGTGTGTGGCCCTGCAGGCAGTGGGGCTTGTCAGCTACAGAAGACTTGTATTTCTCAAACAGCCACATGGTGCTCCCACGCCTAGGGCTGGCCCTACTCAGCTGCACTCCTTAGAGAGCTGACAAAAGCCTTGCAAGGCAGAGGCCCACAGTAATTGTAAGCCCCTGAGCCTAACAACCAGCCACGCTGGGGGCCTACTCACTTAAGAGAAAAACTGCAACAGAAATGTGCTATTCGACCTTGGGGCCAACTGTGCTGGGGCTCCCCATGTACAATAAGTGACTGAAGGGACTGCAGCAGCCACACACAGCTAAGCATTACAACCAGCTTGCCATAGGGAAAGCCTCGTCTCCCCAGGCACCTGCAGCAAGAACAACACTGCCACAACAGAAAGACACAAGTAGGCCACACAGCGGTCACTCCTAGAACATTTGGTGATGAGAGGGAAGCACACTGCTGGGCCTCCTAAGGCATCTCTTACATAAGGCCACTCCTCCAAGAGTGGGAAATATAGCTAATCTACCTGATACACAGATATAAGCACAGAGAAAGAGACAAAAAGAGGAGACATAGGAATACATTCCAAATAAGAGAACAGGACAAATCCTCAGAAAAAAGAACTAAACAAAACAGAGATAAACAATCTACCTGACAAAGAGTAGAAACTAATAGTCATAAGAATGCTCACTGCTCTTGGGAGAAAAATGGATGAACTCAGTGAGAATGTCAACCAAGAACTGGGAAATATAAAAAAGAACCAATCAGAAATGAAGAATATTATACTGGAAATGAGAAATTCACTAGAAGGACTCAACAGCAGAGTAGGTGATACAGAAGAATGGATCAGCGAGCTAGACAAAAGACTGGAGGAAATCACCCAAGTTGAACATAAAAAAGAATTTAAAAGAACAAGGACAGGGGCCAGCTCCATGGCCAAGTGGTTAAGTTTGCGTGCTCCGCTGCGGTGGCCCAGGGTTCGGATCCTGGGCGCAGACATGGCACCGCTCGTCAGGCCACGTTGAGGTGGCGTCCCACATCCCACAACTAGAAGGACCTGCAACTAAGATATACAACTGTGTACAGGGGGGGTTTGGGGAGA